TCTTGGGTCATATAAGAAAGACTGAGCAAGCCAGTGATTGGTGCTTCAGCTCCTGCCTCCAGGTTCCTGCCTTGAGTTCCCTAGTGATGGACTACAAGCTATGTAATGAAATAAGCCCTTCCTTCCCAAGTTATTTTTGATTGGTGTTTTTATCACATTATTAGCATCAAAGCCCAAAACAACTGTAAAGTGCTGTCTCCCGTACATGACATAGCTACTATTCTCAGGAACTCACAGTAGCTGTGGGCCTAGCAACAGTCCAGCATAGATAAAGGAGGGGCTGGAGGCCTCACCGCTGGCTGAGAAGCTGTGGGCAGTTACTGGCTGGTAGAGGAAGAATAGTCACTTTTCTTAGGTGGTGTAGCTACTGTTAAGTTACCCATACTCCAGTAAATAAATGCCAAGCTGTGCTCATCAAACAACTTTACTTGCACTTGGTGAGTTATTAAGAAAGTAATGTCACGTTGTTGTAATCCAGCACTTGGGATAAAGGTAGGAGATCAAGAGTTCAAGGTCATCCTAAGCTATACAACAAGTTCAACTCCAGCCTAAGCTACTTGAGATCCTGTTGTCGACATAAAAACACACAGGTCTCATCTTTTTGTTTGGTTTGGTTTGGTTTGGTTTGGTTTTTGTTTTTTGAGACAGGATTTCTCTGTGTAGTCCTGACTGTCCTGGAACTCACTCTGTAAATCAGGCTGTCCTCAAACTCACAGAGATTCACCTGTCTCTGCCTCCCAAGTGCTGGGATTAAAGGTGAGCACCACCACCACCCGCCTCAAATCTCATCTTAAAGAGAGTAAGAGATAGTTTATTCCTCAAAAGCCATTATGAGTGACTGTGACTCAGAAACACATATGTAGGTTACCCAAATTCCATGTTCTAATGTGGAAGCAGTTTCATGAAGTTTTTATAGTTTTATGGAACAGAGAAAGTCGTAAGTCAAGGCAAACTTAAAATAATTTGGTGGTTACACCAGAGAGGTGGGTACAACAAAGTGGGTGGAGAGGCCTAAGGTGCTATCTGATGACGTTCATAACTCTTGCAATGGTGTAAACTAATGTTCTGCTAAAGCTAATAGAGTCTAAGACCTATGTATTACTTATTATCACGAGGTATTAGATCAGATACAGAATGGGGCAAGGCATGGCTGTTCCAGAATGCTAACACTAGCCCAAGATAAAGTAATTAGTGTCTGAACCTGCAAAATCCAAATCTCTCCACAGCACCGAGATTCCAGTCAGTCCACCAGTCTCTGCAGTCACAGACTCCTTCCAGGAGGTTTTGTTCACAACCAGGCACATCTTCTTTTCAGAAATTTTGTCCACACTGTTACAAAGCAAAACAGAGTTGGAAATGAAGAAGCAAAATTGGCATTATGAAATGATCCCATGATACTGTGGTGATATATTGATATATTGTTTAGGATTTAATAAAGCAACTGGAGATCAAAATGCAAAGCTAGCCACAGCCATAGAGCCAGACAGTGGTGACACACACCTTTAATGCCACCAGCCCCACCAGTTTGCTATAGAAACCAGGCAGTGGTGGCACACACCTTTAATCCCAGGACTCAGGACAGATGGATCTCTGTGAGTTCAGGGCCACCCAGGGCTACATTAGAGTGACTCAGTCTAAAAGAGAAACAGCTCACACAAAGAAGATCTCAGCACTTGGGGCTCCATGCCTTTAATTCCAGGTCTAGAGAGGTATATAAGATAGGAGTGGGGCATTCAGTATTCAGTCTCAGAGATTTATTTTCCAGCCACACTGAGGACAGGGCAGCCCTTTCAGCCTGAGGTAGAGGTGAGAGCTAGTGGCTTGCTACTTTGCTTCTCTGGTCTTCAGCTTAAACCACAATATCTGTCTCTGGGCTTTTATTATTCGTGCTACAGATTGCAAGCAAGGAAAATTAGGGTGATAGGTCACAGAAGTTCAGTATACAGTTTAACTGTATTTTTTGCATACCAGCAATGTCTGACAAATCATCACTTAATACAGCAAGTAAATCCATAGAAAATATGGCAGTTAGCCCAATGTAACATGTGCAATAATGTTTTAGAAGAAAAATACTCTTTAAACTTTGATTTTAAATATGCCCACCTAGGAAAGATCTGTGTGCTGTGCCCTTCACTGAACCCACCCCTGCGCTGTGTAGATCACTTTATCCTTGTCACAACTTTCTGCATTAGTTTTCTAGTATTTCCATGTAAAAGGGAGTAAATTCAAGCTCATATAGGTAAGTAATTTTTGCAAAGGTCCTAAATTTTTGACAGGATGCTGCTTTGCTTGGAAGCCATTTGGGTTCCATTTAATATTTCTAGTGGCTTAAGAAAAGTAAGTGAGCCAGGCCGTTAGTAGTGCACATCTTTAATCCCAGCACTTGGGGAGCAGAGGCAGCTGGATCTCCGTGAGTTTCAGGCCAGCCTGGTCTACAGAGCGAGTACCAGGATAGTCTCCAAAGCTACACAGGGAAACCCTGTCTCGAAAAACAAACAAATGAAAAGAAAAGCAAGTGGATCAGTTTTCCTGCAGAGACCTGCACCAGCTCTGAGTTTAGGAGATACTGTTCCACCAAGCAGGAAGCATTGACAAGTGGATGGAATTCACTGTATGCTGCTGTAAGTTTACTGGTTTGTGGAAACACTGCAGACATGGGCCAGCATGTCACTAGCCACTGCTGTGCAGAGAAGAATCAGAGAGCATATCCAGCAGCATGAACCCAGGGCAGTAACTCAAGGCAGGAACCTGGAGACAGAGACTCTTTAGCAACTCTGCTCACTGGCTTGCTCAGTCTGTGCCTTTCTGTGATCCAGGACCACGTGACCTAGGGCAAAACACCAAGCAAAAGTAGCCTCCAGCTCCCTTGGCTATTTGAGATAAAAGCAATAGTCAAGCAAACCAGGAAAAATTAGTATCAGTTCCCCCACCTCTCCCAAGCCAAGGCAGAAAGGAACTTTGTTGGGATTCATGGAGATTTTTACCCTAACCTTTAAAGCATAACATTTAGCAGGCCTTAATGCCATCACTTGCAGAGGACCCTTTGACTCTTATCTTCCTGCAGGAAAGCCTATGGCCTTCCCAGGAAATGCAGCCTGGCCAAGGACCTCCCTCCACTCCCATCCCCATGGCTCTGCCTAGATATACCTCTTTAGAGGAAGTAGAGAGGACGTAGCTGGAAAGTAAAGAGGCATGTAAATGGCTTATAACAGAATGAGTGTCAGTTCATATAAACGTATTCTTACCCTCCTGGGGTGCTGAAACAGCAGGAAGAAAGGGGCAGAGGAAGCATGTTTGGACTTTAAATGAAAAACTAGATCTACTTGAGATAGCCATCTCAATGGGCCCGAATGTATGAGAGCACAGAGCGTCAACAACTTCATGAATGATTTCCAACATGTCTCCTTCTACTTCTCCCTTTCCAAGAATCTGCAAAATGAGAGTCCTGAATTCAGAAAGTATTTAAGAAGGAAAGATATCCTCACCCACGTGTAGAATTAGGTATACACTACTCTATGGGGCCAGTGAGGTGGCTCCATGGGTAAAAGCCTTGCTCAGCAAGCTTAATGGCTGGGTTCAATCCCCAGAACCCACGTAGGAAGGACAGAAACAACTCCACCAAGCTTTCCTCCGACTCCACATGCATATTGTGTACATGTGCATACACACACACTAGTATACATGGTAGCTCACGTCGGTAATTATAGCTCAGGAGGCTCAAGGCTAGGTTAGAAGAAGTTACAGGCCAGCCTCTGCTATGGAGTAAGATGCTGTTTAAAAGATTCCAGCACTTGTGAGGTAGAAGTAGGAAGATCAGGAGTTCTAAGCCAGCTTTGGCTTCTTAACACTTTGTCTCAAACGGAAAAACAAAAAAGAAAACTCAAGAGAGTGAACACAGTGTTTTAAGAAAGAGTGTGTTATTAGTTTTTCATATTTTTATTTTTATGTGCATTGGTGTTTTACCTGCACATGTGTCTGTGTGAGTATGTCAGATCCCCTGGAACTGGAGTTACAGACAGTTATGAACTGCCATGTGGGTGCTGGGAATTGAGCCTAGGTCATTTGAAGAGCAGGCAGTACTCGTGACTGCTGAGCCATCATTAAAGAGTGCATTAAGAGTGGACAGCTCACCAATACTGACCAAAATGTTTAACTATCAGGATGATGTTTAATTGTAAACCTTTATACTCTGAAGAGCCTCAGAATATATAATCTGCATTCCAGTAAACAGAGTTCCTCTGTGGCCTCTGCTTCAGTTCCTACCTCCAGTCCGTCCTGAGTTCCTGCCCTAACTACTTTCTGTGGTAGACTGTGATCTGGAAGTGTAACTTGCATTTGGTCATGGTGTTTTAATCACAGCAATAGAAGCCCTACCTAAGTCCCATAGGGATTTTTACCTTTTGGGAACGTGCATGTCTCTGATTTTTGTACCATCTCAGTGAAAGCTCTACATCATTCTCAGTATTGTGCACTGAAGCCTTTAAGTGTTGAGCATCTACTCTGAGAAGAGAAGTAGAAAAGGAGGACACTTTGTTTCTGGGCAGCAGTGATGCATTTAGTTTGAGAGTGTAGTCATTTTTTTCAGGTTTTCAATCACAATGGCTGAAGCTTGCATGCTGAAAGATAATTTTGTCTCCTGTATTTTGTGGCTAGTCATCTAAATTCTTGCATGTATAAAACCAAAACAAAGTCCAGCAGGATGGTTCAGAAGGCAAAGGTGCCTGCTTCAGAGCCTGACAATTTGCGTTCAGTCTTCAGGACTAAAGTGATGAGAGGTGAGAACTGCCTCCCACAAGTTGTCGTCTGATCTTGGTGTATATGAGAGAGGCATGCAGATGCCCATAACTTACGTGCACACACACCCCCCAAAGAAATGTACTAAATCGAACTTCATTTGCCCTTATTCATCATTAGGAAGGTAATTGCAGTGGAGTTTTGGGGAAGAAGACAGGGATTTCCTTGACCCTCTTACTTAGAAATAAATATGCTGCTCTTTACAGGTGCTGCCTTCTAGTCCAGGATGCCTGCGGAATGTTCGGGGAAGTATACTTGGATGGCACCCTCTGGAAGAACATACAGCTAGAAGGGAGGTCCTGCAGCGTGGCAGGAATGAAGGTTCTGCAGAAGGCCACGAGAGGAAGGTGAGGACATGCTGGAGGTCATCCACTTGTATAACAACAAATAAAAGGTGAACTTTTTAATGCTTTTATATCAAGTTTTTCCTTTTAAGACAACAAACCAGGACTACCCTGTATTGGTTAAAAAGTCAGTTGGTAGTGGTGCACTCCTTTAATCCCAGCACTCAGGAGGTAGAGGCAGGAGGATCTCTGTGATTTCGAGGACAGCCTGGTCTACAGAGTGAGTTCCAGAACAGCCAGGACTACACACAGAAACCCAGTCTTGAAAAACCACAAAGAAAAACTGGCAGTTGAGTACAGTATCCCTAGAGATACATAACTGACAGTCACAATAATTAAACATCCTTACTGATTAGTATTTTATTGAAATTAAGAGAAAATAGATAAGAACAATTATGTCTTCTAGATACTTGTATTCTAAGTAAAGTGTCTCTAGTTAAAAAAATTGCTGACATTTATATAAGTCCCCTCGTTTCTAGAAATTAATATTTTGGTGAATACTATTTCAAGTTAAACTAGCTTACGGAGAGCAAACTTTGTGGAACTCACTGTTGAGTTTGAGTAAGCAGAGACCCAGTGCGGAGGGAAAGCCTCCTGTCACTAGCTTCTCCCACCTTAGCAGCTGACCAACCAGGACATTCAGCATCTGGAACTAGATGATGCAGTCAGACCCTTTAAGTCATAAAGGGAAACAGAAAAAAAAAAGACTTTTAAATGTTGTGTGTGTGTTACTTCCTGTGCTTATAATTGAAGATTTGTTTTCTACAGTTCTTCTAATGTATGACTGTAAAAAATAAATCTGTATAATAAATAGGGCATGGAAATGAAAGTCTAACTTAATGAAAAGACATTTGAAAGATTCGATCAAAACTTATTTTGCTTTTGAGACAGGATCTCACACACTACATAGCCCTGACTGACCTAGAACTCTACATATGTAGACCAGGCTGGCCTAAAATTCACAGAGATCCACACTGCCTCTGCTTCCTGATGTTGAAATAAGCAACCCTGTTTAAACAGTCAAGTATTAATGCTTTCCCCGGCACTTGTGAGGTGGAGTCAAGAAGATCAGAAATTCAAGGCTATCATCTGTTACATGGTTAGTTTGAGGCCAGCCTAGGTTACCTGAGATCCTTCTTCTCTAAAAAAACAAAAGTTCTTAGTACTATCATAAGCAAGCTTGTTCCTTGCCAAATGTTGTGGCTCCTTATCCTGAAAAGTTTTGGGTATTGAGATGTAGCCAGGCATAGACCTGGTCAAACCATGGTCCTTGGGGCTTCACCAGTATCTCTTTAATATGTAAATTAAAAGAAAACATTTTCTTTGTTATGCCTTTTTAATTTATTCTTTTATAAGCTCATAAATGGACACAGTGTATCTTGGTCATATTCACCCTCAGACCCCCATCCCCCACATCCACCCTGACCCCCTACTCCTACCACCCTCAGATAACTCCACACTCTGCCTTCCTACCCTGATAGCTCCACCTTCCCACCTCTTTTTAAGCAACCATGGAGTCTGATAAGTTCTGCCCTCTGGAATGTTCACTGACCTTATTATTGACCTGGTCTTGTTCAGACCTATGCAGGTTGTAACCATGGCTGCTGTAAATTCCCAGCCACACCCTGTGCAGGAGACAGCATTTCCCAGTACTACTCCCCATCCCCCACACTTAGGTTCTTTCTGTCTCATCCTCCATGAATGTTGGTGAGCACTCAACAGCACGTGTTCTCAGCACTCTGACCAGTTCTTTGTGGCTGTCTTCATTTCTGCCTGTTGCAGAAAGAGGCCTCTCTTACCCAGGTTGGCAGTTATCTGTGGGGTGGACATACATGTTTACAAGGCAGTTTGATGTCTGCTTAGCAAAATGAAAGCAATAGGATCCTTGGCAATGTTCTCAGCTCCAAGCATGGATTGCTTATATGGAGTAAGCCTCAAATCCAATCAATATGGTTGTTGTCTTAGTTGGGGTTACTATTACTGTGATGAAATGTTGTGTCCAAGAACATAGTGGGGAGGAAAGGGTTAATTTCACTCATGGGTCTGTAAAACATTTCCTCATCCAAAGCAGTGAGGGCAGGAATTCAAGCATGGCAGAATCCAAGAGCCAGGGATTGATACAGAGGCCACGGAGGGGTTCTTATAGAACCCAGGACCACCAGTGCAGTGATGATACTGCCCACAATGGGTTGGTACTTGCCTATCAATCACTAATTTAACAAAATGCCCTACAGACTTGCCTGCCGTCCTATTTTACAAAAATCTTTTTTTCCCTTAGCTTTATTTTATCATTTGATGGGTATGAGTATTTTTGCCTACATGGACTGGTATGTACCATGTGCCCAAGAGGTCAGAAGCGGGTGTCAGATTCCCTGGTACTGGAGGTACAGACAGTTTGTGAGCTTCCATGTAGGTACTGAGAACTGAGCCTCAGTCCCCTGCAAGTACCACTGAGCCAACTCTGAAAGCATTTCCTTAATTGAGGTTTCCCTCCTCAGATGACTTCAGCCTGTGTCAAATTGACATAAAACTATCGAGAACAGCTGGTTACCTCTGTAAGATTTGTGCCACTATTTCAACAATGAGCATTAGGAAGAAAAAAAAATTAAAAGGAATCCTAGGGTAAAACTATATACCACAAACAATAAATTTGGGGTTCTCAAACTCATTGTTGGCTATCTTCAAGTCAATTGTTACTCCTTCATATTGGTATTTAATAATAGTAGTATCTGAGCTTCTAGTATCATTGGTAAGCCTGTTACAAGTCTATAATGTTCTGAATCCTTTCTTGGTAACATCTTCTCTGCTTTGCATAATGACCACTTAGTGTGGCCATTCTAAATTATGAACATTCACAAGCATTTCTCCTGACTTGCCTAGTCCTGTCCTGACAGCCCTTTCTATGGCACCTTTCAGATGAGTGACAGCTCTGCCTGAGAGTTATATACCTGGAAGAAGTGTTCTCCATAAACAAATAGGCTGTAAGGTAAACTTGGAGCACATATAGATCATTCACTGTTGTATATATGTTGTCTTAATGACAAATGCTTCCATTTTTATATTCCTATGTTATAATGGAATTATGTTATATGATTTTAGGAGGAAAGTGAAGATTTGTCCAGGTGTTTAGAAAGCATACTAGACATAATAAAAACTTGATTAGGCATATAAACCCCATCCTTACTAAAGCTGATCCTTGATGCATTCCTTATTAGAATATTCCTCGGGGCTGGAGAGATGGCTCAGAGGTTAAGAGCACTGACTGCTCTTCCAGAGGTCCTGAGTTCAATTCCCAGCAACCACATGGTGGCTCACAACCATCTGTAATGGGATCTGGTGTCGGCTTGCAGACAGACATGGAGGCAGGATGTTGTATTCATAATAAATACATTTTTAAAAAAAGTTTAAAATGGCTCTTTCATACCTCTGAAGGGCAGCCCCCCCTCTTCCTCTCTCTCCCCATCTCTCTCTTCTCTCCTCCCTTCCCTTTCTAAAAGCAAATAAATAAAGTAAAAAAAAAAAGAATATTCCTCATACCACTTTCCAACTCAGAAGGAAACTGGAAACTGAGAGTAGATATCTACAGTTAGACTCACTACCGCAAGGCTGCTATGGTAAGACTGCTTCATGGCTCAGTCTTTGCACTTGATGGCCCAGAGAGCTGTTCAGGCTAGAGACTGTGGGAACACATTGTGGAAACTGTTGTAGATAGGCATAGCCAGGCCTGGAACCAGGGATCTGTGGCTCTGTAGAATTGGTGTTCTTCCAGCATCATGCTATACATGGGAGACTCATTGCCATCTATAGCATTTCCAGGGGAGGTAGACTTCCTGTAGGAAGTGTCCCAGTGATCCAGATAATTCATCTGCCAGTAAACTTCCCAAGGACTCACACATGCTCAGTGACTGCTCTCTATCTCCAGCCCACCTTACCGAAAAGTGTTTGAATTCTTTTCCATGTTTAACTTGCTGGCAAAATATGTGATGCTTCTTGGAATTAGGATTAATTTCTTTATTTTATGCATTTCACTTTCCTTCGGCATGCAGCCATCCAAATAAATATTTGGAGTATCTTTTTGTTCTTTTGGAAGCTGTGTTTCTTCAAAACAAATTACTAAATACTTCAGGAATGTTGGATGTTATAATTGCCTATTAGTGACATCATCCACTGTCGGTCATCCACCCATAGCCTAGAAAACAAGGTAGTCGTCTTTTTGCATGCTGGTTGTGTCTGTTAGCAACTCTCCTAATCCTTAACAGAACAGTTACTTCCAAACATGTCCGACTGTATCATAGAAAATTCTGTTTTACAGTTGGAAGGCAGTTGTATGGCTAAGACATGCTGGCCTTCAGACCTACACCAGCAGATTTCATCTGTCCACAGTTTTAGTGACAGGATGCCAGTCATCCCTTATTCTGCAGACCCATCCTAGCAGACAGACAGACTGCTACACTTGCATAAGGAGCACCCCATGGTCTTAGTCCAAAGGTTTGCAGAAAGACAACCAGGGTAGTTTTGGGGTTTTCTCTGACTTATTTTTCTTTTTTTATTTAAATGTCCATATTGAGTGGTCAGAGTAAGATGAGTTAGGAAACATCCATTTAGTTAAAGAAAATTGTAGTGTTCAAAACCATCCTGGTAAGGTGTGCTCATTGGTTGACTGTAGCCCTGCCTTTGCTTCCTTTGCATAATACTTGCTGCTCTTGGTCTAGGGACCTTCTCCAAAACTTAGCCTGTGACTCTCTTGGGTGACCTGTGCATTAGTTTAGCAAGCCAAACAAATAGACAACTCACATTACTTTGATGCCATATTCTGTGTATGAACTTGATCTTTGTATTTTTATGATATTCTTTAATTTTAAATTGTAGGAAAATGTTGAGGATAGGGGGATATCTGAAATATGTAAACTGCAGAAGTGACAGGCAGCAAATTATGTTACTTAGCAGAGGAATGGAGGACTTGTTTCTATTCACAGTCCTCCAAATATTTAGGCCAGGCATTA